AATTTCGACTACGACTCGTCATAATGAGGCATATAATTTCGACTACGACTCGTCATAATGCGGCATATAATTTCGACTTCGACTCGTCATAATGCGGCATATAATTTCGACTACGACTCGTCATAATGAGGCATATAATTTCGACTACGACTCGTCATAATGCGGCATATAATTTCGACTACGACTCGTCATAATGAGGCATATAATTTCGACTACGACTCGTCATAATGCGGCATATAATTCCGACTACGACTCGTCATAATGCGGCATATAATTTCGACTACGACTCGTCATAAAGAGGCATATAATTTCGACTACGACTCGTCATAATGAGGCATATAATTTCGACATCGACTGGTCATAATGAGGCCTATAACACGCCATATATTGATATGGAAAACCAAAAATAATTTTGTACTGATATACTGTATTAAATGGTTGTATTCTTGTAGGGCTATTACGTCATATTTTATTGTTTTTTATCATTTCACCAATGCAAGGCAATAAATCCACTCAGACAGAAAGGACAATAGAATGTTAACGAATTTGAAAAAAAATATACAGTAAGTAAACAATAAAAGGACAAGAATTAAGATTCTGAAGATAATGGTTGACGTTGAATTTAAATCTTTGAAGATAAAAGTTGACACGGAAGCGAGAGGCTGGAATAGAGATACACACACGAGAAGTGGCGTAGAAGAAGCAATTAGCATAGAACTTACGGTTCAATCTCGCCACTCCAAATGTAAAATGAAGAAACCTTGCAGCCAATCTAGTACTGCGCTTAAGTTCATAAAGTAAAGGCACCATGCAGCATACGAATCAAGATGAATATATATGTTCTAAAATATATTTTATATAGTATATATATATATATATATATATATATATATATATATATATATATATATATATATATATATATATATATATAATTAAATTCCCAGATGAATTCTGTGGACAAGACAGATTGGTATCAAATGACAATTGGAAAAAAATCTTAAATTTTGCCGACGCGTTTCGTCTTCCGACTTTTTTCAAGGCAAAAATGAAATCGAAATGTTTTTGTTGTTATAGTTCCATTAAAATTCAAAATAAAAAAGATAGACGCTTCTATCTAAGCCTTTTTTCTGGTTAATGTAAATTTATTTTTCATATGATAACGATGTCTAAGATGGTACCTATTTATTTTTAACGCATTTAACTATACATAGCTATAACCTAACATGCAACCTTATAAATAAACGACAATTGCAAACTTACAAATGAACAAAAACTGGAAACTTGCAGATGCTATGTATTTATTGGATTGTACTTAAATATTTTTAAAGCATTTAATAGTTTATTCCTGTTGCCAAACAACCTTACAAATAAACAAAATTTGCAAACCTGCAAAGGGCTTTTTTTCATATGATGACGATGTAATTGGATGGTGTTTATGTACTTTTAAAGCATTTATCAGTTCATAACGATAGCCTAACATAGAAACTTACAAATAAAAAAAAAGCAAACTTGCAAATGTATTATTTTTCGTAGGAAAATGATATCATTGGATATTACTTATGTATTTTTAACACATTTAAAAGTTTATAGCTCTAGCCTAACATACAACCTTACAAATAAACAAAAAATTGCAAACTTGCTGAAGCTTTATTTTTTATTTGATAATGATGTCATTGGATAGTACTTATATATTTTTAACGTATTTAACAGTTAAAAGCTATTGCATAAAATACAAACTCTCTTATAATCAGATCCCAACTTCTAGAACAGGGGTCGGCAAACTTTTGCTATGCACCGAATTAAGGTTTTAAAATCATTCTGTATGCCAACAGCTTACGTATTTTTATACAACACAGATGTCAGTATAATTGTTCTACAATATAATCTATATTCTAATATATGGTATATATACTTTAGTATATATTAACATTGAAATTGCAAAATATGTTTGTTATTGGTTCGAACTTCTTGATGTCATTTGCGGCTGCGTACCATTGGACATTGCTTGGCGTGCCATGTTTGGCAAACGTGCAGTAGGATGCCGACCCCTGTCATAGAGGAAAATTCACCAGAAGAAAGAATTTATAGAAAATACAAAGGAACGAAAAGAATGTCTATAATTTCGGGAATGAAGTCTTTCAGATCGGAGCATTATATTGCCTTAATTTAAATTCCATTACAAATAAAAGATAAAGTCTTTATTAAAGTACCATGTGTAGTATGTGTGTCTGTACCATAGGCAATATGATCGTGAGTAATCATATTTTTCAATTTCTTTCCATATTATTGCAGATTATAAATGGACACTCCGAGGCGGTGTAGGGGTTAGAATGTTTATCTCGCTAAAACAATTACGAATGAGTATTCAGTCAAAAGAGTACAGCTGTATGCAAAATTGATATTATTTTGATCAGACTTCTCAAGAGCAACTCTCTGTGGCTGTTCGGTCTCACGTTGACTGCTGACCTGAGATGGAACAAATACATTGAGTCAATTGCTTCGTCCACCGCAAGGAAAGTTGGCTCCTTGTGCCGCGACAGGAAATTTTACTCCCCGGAATCGATCCTCCAGATCTACAAATCAACAATTCGCCCTTGCATGGAGTATTGCTGCCATATATGGTCTGGAGCCCCTACTATTTGCCTCGGGGTTCTTGATAGGCTCCAGAGGCGGATATGCAATATAATTGGCCCTGCTCTGGTATCTCGTCTACAGTCACTTTCTCACAGACGCGCTGTCGCCTCTCTCTGTCTGTTTTACAAATACTTTCATGGCAATTGCTCCGAGGAGCTGCATTCGCTGGTTTCCAGACTTCATGAGTTCAAGCGCCCTACGAGGCTGGCATCCCGCTCTCACCCTTTCACTGTCAAAACTCTTAAATGTAGCCGTCTCTTCTACTCCAATAGCTTCATGTCTCGCACCTCTCGCCTGTGGAACTCCCTTCCCTATTCCAGTTTCCCTGTGAGCTATAATCTTTAGCTATTCAAATGTAATGTCAATCGACATCTCCAGTTGCCTTGATCTATTCCACTACCCTTCTCCTCATCCTTTCTTCTATCACTCCTATCTGATCTTCTGTAACCCCTTGCGTCCTAGTGGCTTCTCGCCTTGCTTGGTGTGAAACGCTTAAAAAAAAAAAAAAACAAACAAAAAAAAACTGATGTTTTACTTAACTGTAATCAAATAATAATGGACGTAATATTCACATATATATATTAATATCTTATTATAAAATGCATATTGGTATCGTATTATTATAAAATACAAATTAGTATCGTATTATAAAATACAAATTAATATCTTATTATAAAATACATATATTAGTATCGTATTATAAAATACAAATTAGTATTTTATTAAAAATACAAATTAGTATCGTATTATAAAATCATATTAGTATATTAAAATACACATTAGTATTATAAAATACATATTAGTAATACATATTAAAATCATATTAGTAAAATATTATAAAATACATATTAGTATCTTTTTATAAAATACATATTAGTATCTTATTATAAAATACACATTAGTATCGTATTATAAAATACACATTGGTATTGTATTATAAAAAACAAACATAGCAAATATGCATCTTTTCTATTGTTTAGCTGTTTCTCGTTCGGTTGTTTATGGCTGTACGCGTTTATGCAACGAGTATAGCGTTACTATCGATATTTTTATCATTCTGTTTTACTTTTTTAAATTTATTTAACTAGAAGATGGGATAAATAGATATAAGTAGATGATTTTAAATTATCTCAATTAGGTTTTATTTAAATACCCACGGAGATCTCCTAAACTCTATCCGTAGCATACTTGTTGACAATTCAAGTATAATAGAATAGATTCATTTATAGATAATCAAAGGAAAGGAAGGATAAAAAGTGGGGGATCATTCCACATTTCTTGGCAACTTTATCCATTTCTGTAATCGAGACAGGATTTAAGTAATTTCCAATAATATTCTTATAGGTTGGTTTGTTATATATACTGTATATACACGAGTATCTTGCTACTTTTGAAGATCAAATTTTGAAGCTAATTTTAAGAGGGTCGCATCATACATGAGATATAGAATTAGCGTATGTACTGGGATAAAGAGATTAAGGAAAGGAGATTAGTCTATTGTAATTTGGGCTCTCAAAAAAGGAACTCACATAATACACGAGATACATGACAACATTATTTTTATAAGTGAAAATTTGGGGTGCCGTATAATACACGATATCGTACATTACACAAATATACGCAGTATATATTTTCTTAAATATTAATCTGGACCCATAAATCAATAGAAACATATGGAAAAAAAACAGAATTCTAGACTGATTTTATTTCTAAATTTAAGAAATCATGTTGTGTGAGTTTATAATGTTTTGGCTTCCGAAGGTGATCAGTTTTCAGTAAATTTACATAGCGAAGTGAACCCTATTTTAACAGCAAATTGCCTCCCTAGAACAAGACAGATTACGATTGGTAGGAAGGAGAAAAAAATTGCTACATGCTGCAAAAGTAGGGGGTTGTTGTGGAGAAATATATTCGCCCACGTACTGAAAGGACACGGCACGTCGAAAAAGAAACACTATACAAGAAAATTTAGCGGGTACTGTCGAAATAGTACCCGCTAAAATGTCTAAGTAGTTTAGCATAATATCGCATTTGCCTCATATTTATTAAAAGTCAAGTATTGCGCAAGGAAAAAAAAAAGGCAGAGAAAAAGATCTTTGGACTAGCAAATAAAATATAGACATCGTGAGAGAAAAGGACAGAAAGGTTACGAATTTCATTGATAGCGTTGTTGGTTGTCGAGGAAGGCGACCAAGACCCGGATGTCGGCGTGAAAACGGCCGTAGGAATATCTTCAACTGAAAGACGACGCGCCATTTTTTTTCTTTTTTTTTTTTTTTTCGCTTCCGACCACCACCAAACACGGCTACCACCATCCTGCAAACACGCCTCATCCTACGAAATTTCGGGGGACGCAAATATCAATGACATGCCACATGTTCATTCAGAAGTGAAGTTTTTAAATGACATGTGTTAACAAAAGTGTTCACATATGCACACAATGAATAGCACAGAAAACGGGGAAAGCGCGGCAAGAAATCCTATACACACCCCGATTTCTATATAAGTACACACGCACGAACACACATACATATATATATATTTTTTTTCTAATGTATAATTTATTTTATCTTATTATATTTTCATTTTTAAATATTTCTTATTCTTTAATATAACCACTTTTTTTTTTATTGATTACAAACTTTAAAAAATATAACCATATTTACTTTTATTTAATTATCTAAATATAATTTATCTTATTAATCTTACTTAATTTTATTTAACTATCTAAATATAACTTATTTTTAATTTATTAAATATATTTTATTTTTAAGTAAAACTTATCTTTGGGAGAGTATTAAGTAGAAGCTTGTATTTTTCAAATTAACTTTATCTATATCTATATCTATATCTATATATATATATATATATATATATATATATGTGTGTGTGTGTGTATGTGTGTGTGTGTGTGTGTGTGTGTGTGTGTGTTTAATAGAACGAGCCTAAGTCGAATTACAGCTAAGTTCCTTCGGCGGGGCTCGCAATGAATGATAGCACCATCCAATCGATATCATGCAGTTAAATCCTAATAAACAAGTGTGAATAGGAATTAACAACGATTAACAACATACCTATAATTTCCTTGTCTGTCATATTAAACGATATATGTTTGAATATATCCATCAGTCTTTTCTCGTCCGCCTGTCCATATCTATCTATCTATCTATCTATCTATCTATCTATCTATCTATCTATCTATCTATCTATTTCACTCTGTTCATATCTATCTATCTATCTATCTATCTATCTATCTATCTATCTCAGTCTTTTTCATATCTATCTATCTATCTATCTATCTATCTATCTATCTTTTCGTTGCTCTCTTACTTTTAAATTAAGACTTCATTCTTCATAAAACCCCAATTAAATGTTATAAGTTTAATATCTGTGTTTAATTTTATAAAACCTCTTCCATTTACGACTAATACCTTCCACCCTCCTCTGACCACTCACTCGTGCCTTTCGTCTGACTGAAACATTGTAATGGTTAAATTCTGTAGTAATTTTTCCACAGCTGTAACAGTTAAATTTCTAATTCCGGCACAAACTCAGTCTATATACCGGGGTCTAATAAGACTGACGAAGTTTTCACCGGTTGAAATAGTTCTATTCCCCATATTTTATTGTGTGCTATATATATATATATATATATATATATATATATATATATATATATATATATGTGTGTGTGTGTGTGTATGTATGTGTATGTATGTATGTATGTATATACATACTCCTCCTCCCCAATACAAAGTATGCTTGAGAGATATGAAATTAATCCTCCCTATACTCTACCATGTCTCTTTAACTACTCCTTTTACAGTCTCTTTTAAATTACAAAAACTTACACTACCCGTCAATTTTAATTTCATTTTTCGTTTCATTTCATTTTTGGAAGTGCTACCTGATGATCCGGCGTCCTTTAAAAGGGCTCTGGTGAAATAAATTATTATAATGGTACCTTAAAGTGGTCTGCTTTTCTTTTTTTAAATATATATATATATATATATATATATATATATATATATATATATATATTAACATATTTACTGTGTTTAAAAATAAACATTCTATAATACTAAATACATACATACAAACAATCCATCTCAAGTTAACAGGAAATATATTCCATCCTTGAAAAATGGCTAAATGTATAGCCGAAAGCACTCGAAAAAATAATGCATTTTGACAGATTTTGTGTAATTTATGGACTGAAAAGAAAAAAACAATTTTGAATCTTTATATATCTTTATATATATATATATATATATATATATATATATATATATATATATATATATATGCAACTTTCATTTAATATGACAAACTACGTGCTTTAAGTTTTTTGTATAATTTTTCATATGGACTTATATTTTTCTCTTTCCACACATAGAGACACACACACACACATATATATATATATATATATATATATATATATATATATATATATATATATATATATATATATATATATATATTATTATTAAAAAATATGTTTTCATCGAGACGCAGAAATTACCATGATTCGACACAAAACCTAAATATTAAATTAAATTTTAAATTCAAACTTTAATAAGTTCAAAAAAAAAATTTACTCTTTTTATATAAGCTAAATTATTGCATACTTTAAGTTTGAGGAAAAAAAAACAATATCCATTTCCAGTTAATCGTGAATATACTCCTTAAAAAAATTGTTTCCCCCCCATCAACTTAAACTAAAAAATAATTTAGCTTATATAAAAAGTGTAAATCGTTTTTCCGAAAACTATTCAGACTTCGCTTGCAAAATGAAACTAAACTGTAAATTTTACGTTTAATTTAAGATTCAGGTTTTGGTTTAGAAACATAATTATTTCT